AAAAAAAAAACCCGTGAGTTGCAGAAATATGCTGGTGATTCAGTAAATAGATATATTTTTATCATTAAATAGAAACAAAATCTTTTAAAAGAGAAAAATGATTTCAGTAATTTGTCATAAACATTTGCCTATTTAGGCAAGAGCTAATAACTGAGGTGCTAATTATATTAAGATAATGCCTAAAACATTAAATTTCAGTTACACCTAAAATAACATTTTCTTTTTGATCAACAGGAACAAAGCACCCTCAGCACTCAGCATCATCATTTTAAGGTCTTGCTCCTTTTATCATTGAATAGAAAGTTTCATCCTAAAAGGCATGCTATACAAAGTTTGGAAAGCTGGGGGAAAAAAACAAAGAAAACCCTAGCTTTTAAATGTGCAAATTGGAAATAGAAAGCCCAGCACATTGTAAATGAGTGATCTAAATTTAGCTGTTTCAGTTATCTCCTAAAACAAGTGGGGTTTTCTGTATCTCAGCAAATTCTGTTTAAAAAATGTCCTAAAGGCCTCTCTGCCCTGACTTATATTTATAAATATATTTTCTGAAACTTGTCTTAAAAGAAGCGTTTATTCAGAATATTTTTCACAACAGATTTTGATTCAATATTGGGCATTCATCAAAAATGACATTTTGTTATTTCAAATGAGGTTGCTTTTAAGTACATTTTGGTTTTATTTTGTTCCATGTTTAAATTATTTACTTTGAGTGGGTAAAGCCTGAAACCCTGATCATGTGGTTGCTGATATGTATAATTATTAATGAAATGTTCACTCGTAGTTCCTTTTTAAGTTTAGAATTTCAGCTACGGATCAGGTCAACAGTATTATAAACAGAGCTCCCGTGTGTGAGACCACATATTTGTGAATGATGCTCACTGCCTGCCATTTGCAACCTGTTCTCTTCTAAGAGTGCTAGCCCTACCAAATTGTAAACATTTCAGTTTTTAGTTACATCCTGAGGCTGGTGAAGAACATAAATATAAATGTAATGTTGTGGGAACACCAGTTCATATTAAGATAATGTAAATGTTGGTAGCACTTTCTTACAGTTAATTTGAAAATTATGGTTGCTGAACTTTATCTGAGTTAGATGACTTAAAAATGCATGTAATTTTAATTTTATAATTGTATTGACAAGCATAATTTACCTGGACAATTTTGTAGGTAGCCTTAACTTTTGGCCAAGTTTGTTTTTTATATAAATATAAATATATATATATATATATATGTATGTATATATGTATATGTGTATATGTATATATGTGTGTATACATTTATCCCATGAATGTGTTACTGTATACAAAACTCTTTTAATGCTTTATTTTCAAATGCTGGGTTGAAAACTGTTTTTGAAAGCCTTTAAAATATATATCTTTATAAAGTAATATTCAGGATGATGGAAATTGTTTATATTGTTATGATAAAAATGATGGTATAATGTTGCCCAGTGTATTTAATGGTTTTTTGAAGAGGGAGAGGGGAGGAAAGCTCTCATACCACTTTCTTCTTTGAATTTTTCAGTTTATTGGCTTTCTAAAAATGAATACTTCAGTCAGTGGACTTTTTTTCAGCATCACTTAAATAGTTTCAGACATAATTTGGTCTGCATATTTGAACTTACTGTTCCTTTCAACTTGATACTGAGAGTGTCTTATCTAGGAGGGTGGCTCAAAGGGGGCTGTTGACTCTGAGCTCAGCAGCAGCTCTCGTCTCCTGTAAACCTGCCTTCGGGAGTCACCAATCATGCTTGAGTTTTCCTTCAAGCAAGAGACTATATTTCTGTGGGTGCATATGTAGGGGGAACATTCATCTTAATACTTCAGGTTATAGCAAGTGTTTTATATAGTATATGCTGTTTATACCCATACTTGCCTGCTTCTTGTAACGCCTTATATCAAGTAGATAATAGTGATCTTTCTTTTTCTGCATGAAGTGTAGGTGGGAGTGGGTGAGGGGCACAGACTTATTTGAAATCTGAGAGTATGTTCAATCCATTCCTGATTAGGTTGTTTGGTTACTGTGGCTGAATGTGCCATGCAGTGTATTAAAGAAACTCCATGTGTGCACCCCAAGCAATCACCTCCCCTTTTCCCTGCCTGCTATGGGCACTCCAGACCTCTACACTTCTGTGGGTTCAGCTCCTAGAGCCCAAGCATAGGCTTCCTTTTCTAGTCCTGTCACCCCACAGGCTGTGGGTTGCTGAATTAGCTGCTATTCTAGGTCAAGTCACATTTAGCTTTTTCTTACCCTTTTCTGTGGGGATGCTATGGGGAGGGGGGTAAGGAGGAAATTTAGAGTGCTTATACTTTGCTGGAAATAGTGGATCCTTCCTATGTGACAGGATACAGCAAATTATTGTTAAGTTTAAACCAGAACCAGAGCTACCTCTAAGTAGTGTTTCCTCAAGCACAAGCTCTCAGGCATATGAGACCCTCTTGAAGGGAGGCTCTCTGATTTCTTGAGCATCAGCAAGTTTCAGAAGTAACATTTTTGTACTCCTCCAGTTCCCTTGTAACTACATACTTTTCCCCATTCCACACTGTGCTTACTCAACAAAGACTTCTGAGAAGCCAAATTCAGCCAAATTATTAGCTGGAAATATTGCCGAATAAAAAAACCCCTGAAACTGAAGTGGAAGAACAGTCTTCTGGTTAAGGAAACCAGTTCTTTTCTGGGAAATGCTCTCTTGTAGGACATGGGATGATCTTTTAAGTACTTTTTTAATGTCAGAGGCACACAATTAAGCCTCGACTGTTGCTATTCTGTGGTTGACATGGTTTTGAGAATTCTTTAAAATTTCTGCTAAAAAGCTTGCAATAGAGGGTTTTATCAGTTTTAAATGTTGGCTGCAGCTTACAAATGAACCTTTGCGGTATAATAAGTTCACAAGCTAAATTTTCAAAGAGAGATTTGTTTCAGATCATGCCTCTTGTCTATTTGGGATCAACATGTCTTTTCAATCATGGTATTGTCAAACAATAAAGTTTTCTTAATCTATTTTGGGAAGCATTTTGTTTTAATTGAAAATCTTTTGAAATAAGATTATCCTGCCTTAGAACACTTTGAACTTTTTTTTCCCCATCCTAGCTGTATTTTCAAACTTGACTTCCTCTGGGTCTTCGACTATCCAGATTTTATTGTTGTTTCCAGACATCTGTGGTATGCAAACATACACATTCCAGACAAATGTAATTTTTAACTTACTGGTAAGTATCCTTCAGCATGCTAATTCCTTGGAAGGTACTTTTAGTGTTTCTCTTGATATAAAGGTGTGTATGTGTTTTTATTTCCTTTCCTTTCCCTTGGGATTATTTTTCTCAAATTTCAAATCATATGAAAACTTATACTAAGAAACTCCTTTGTCTTTTGCTGCTGCTATGTTCAAGATTCAGTGAACCCTGGGCAGCATCACTTGGCACATGGCCAGAGCAAGGCAATGATGTAATTTTCTAATCTGGATCTATTGTGCAATATTGAGCTCATTCTTGAACTCCCCCTCCAATTTTTTTTCCCCAGTGAAACAAGAGAGGCTCAGATCTATTGCTGTCCAGCTGAAGACATTGCTCATGTCTGTCCATCCTCTGGGTTTTATCCAGAGAAGGTAGCAAGGTTGGACTTTTACCCTATTTTATGTGGATACAGAACTCTATGAAGACTTTTTTTTAATATTTTAGTAAAGCCTGGTACAAGGGGGAAATTTCCTAGGTCTGATTAGTCAAGATAAGAATTGTTAAAAGTGATGTTATACTTGAACCCAAAGTAAAAAGTACTATTTCAAAAATATTTTCATCATGAAACTGATAAATTCTTTTAAAACTAAAAGGCATATTGTCAATAGTATTTTTGTGTTGGCGGTAAAACAAGTTATCTGAAATTGTGAAGGCCACTGTGAATCAGGGTCCCATGCTGATTCCTAGTTGGTAGCTGTCGGGATAGAACAACTGGGCCAAAGACCACACAGCATTCTGATGCTTGACTGACTGGCTGGTGCTATCAGCTATTTGCTGAGAGTGGAACGGAATTGTGTGTTTTCTCTAGGATGATCTGTGAGGTGATCATCACTCAGGAGAGATGATACAGAAAACATCTTTGAAGAGAAGAGGTGTAGCTGTGAATTTATGTTAATCCTCTGTTTAATTATCTAGCAGTTGAGAGTTGCAGATTGTAACAAATGAACAAATTGCCAAGTGCAGCCTCTTCAGGATTTGAGCATCTGATTTTACTATGCATTTCTCTGGGGCATCTGATAGTTGTACATTTTCTTTTACTAGAAGTCTCGATAGTCCATGTATTATTTGGCCTGCAGTCATGATTCCTTGGCCCCTGAACAGGTCACTACATTAATGGCAAAGAAGCTTGTTAATGTGTTGCATAGTGTTTATATTTCAAGGAATTGAGGGGAAAATGAGCTGCTTTGTCACGTCTATGTTGAGTTAGTAGCTTCAGATAAAATCTGCTTTTAAAGCTGTCAGTGATAAAATGCTGGAGGCTGTGTCCTAAAATATAGTGAATTTTGTTTTCTTAGATTTGTAATAAACAGTGTTAGAGCCAGTTAAACCCAGATTATTTTCTTAAACTTTCTTTTCTCACATGATTCATAGTAAACATATTAAAAAAGAAAAACTTTAATTGGGAATTGTACAGTTGAAATGGCTTTTCATCTTACGACCATATACAAATGTTTTTAGACAGTAAAAAGTGTTTAAAAACCAATTGCATCCAGACACCCATGCTGCTTCCTAATGCAGAGCAGAGGGTAGCATCATGAGCTGAAGCCATCTTTCCCCAGCATCGCGTATCCTGCTTTCCTCCCTTCCTTGCCCTCCCTTCCTTGCTCCTCTTGTCCTGTTGGTTCTAAAACATCTGGAAAAATGTCCCAGCTCTATGGCTACAGGCCATAGCTGTTATCAAACTTTGTAAGCTAGTGGGGAGATGATCTGTATCTATGCTGTGATAACAAACCGAGGAAGTGAATTTCTGAATTTCTTCATAGCCAACTCTTCCATGATTAGAGAATGTAGAGTGAACAGGGGAGGAAGGAGCTGACAGTCCAGCCTTGTAACAGTAACCAGCGCACTTCCATCAAGTGTCACCCCCTAGGAAGGCCATCCCTGCCCCATCCCCATTTTCTCGACTTTTTTTTTTTTCTGTTTTTTTTTTTTTTTTTTTTTTTTTTTCAGGGTCTTCCTGCAGTCCTAGCTGGCCTGGAACTTACTATGTAGACCAGTCTCACAGATCTGCCTGCCCAAGTGCTGGGATTATAGGCATGGACCACTACACTAGGCGAAGCTCCAGGACTCCCAAAGCCAATCTTTATGTAACTGGCTTTCTGAGGTCGAGGTCTGAACTAAGTGCTAACGAAGCCAAGGAGCTCAGATCTAGATAGCAGAGAATCTCATCTTAGACATTGCAGTTACTCTTAAGGTCCACCCAATGAGGCTGTCTCAGATTGTGTGCCTTGGCGTTTTTTGTATGTATATATTCCGCTCGGACTAAAACAAGCATTGCTAGGTAACTATTGGTCTCAGCAGGATGTTGATCAATTCCACTTTTCACCTTCCAGTGAGAATTTCACATAGGCGCCCATGTGTGTTGCAAGGACTGGTCCCAGTACTTGGTGGCTCTGCCAAGTCCAGCTCATGGCTTGATGCCGATGCTTCTCTTCCTCCGCCTACCAAAGACTTGGTCACCTGAAAGTTAGAAGATGAGTAGGAAGTTAACTAGCTTGTGGCCTGCGACCTTAGCAGGAGCAACAATATCAATAGTGACAGCTGCAGAGATGGCTCCAAGGACTGTATATGCTTTGTAAGACTATATGGTTTTCTAAGTCATTTAGTGTATTTCAGTACCAGGTTGGTTCTTTCCTACTCTGCAGCAGCACACCTTCCATTCTCCCTAGCTGTAAAGTGATGTTAAACAGCCTCCTCTTGCCAAGAGCAAATCACCTCTCCTCTACTGATCTCCAGCCTCCCCAGGACGCCAGACCCCACAGTGCTTATTACCTTTGTCTCCTTTCTCTCCTTTGTGCCCTCGAGGGCCAGGTGGCCCAGGAAGACCTCGTGGTCCAGCAGGACCCCGGTCACCTAGAAGAACAGAAGTAGGTATGACACCAGTGCCTGAGTGCAGGGCTGAAGGCTGGCACAGTGGCACCAGCTGCTGCTCAGCAAGAGGTGGTCATTACGCAGGATCCCTGTGCCACTTACCTTTGGGTCCTGGGGTGCCCACCTCTCCCTTCTGCCCGGGTGGTCCTGGGATAGCTCCATAAGCTGCAGGGAAGGAAAATAAATCTGACCTTAGACTAGAGATTGCCTGAGGCTTGGGAGGGCAGATGATTTGTTCAAAGTAACACAGAAAGTGGTGGAGTCTGGACTTGAGGAAACAAAGCTGGGCTTTACTGGTTTCAGCATCTCAGGTGTGGCTAAGGAGGATTATCTTGAGGTTGGTGTTTTGGTATCAGCCCCCACGAGAGCCTAGGCAGCAGGCTGGTGCTGGAAAGCAGTCAGGATGCACTTACTCCGGAAGAAGTCCACGAGGTCCTGTGTCACATTGCTGTAGGCAGAAAAGACTTTGCTGATGCCAGGGGGGCCTTGGGGCCCAGGCAGACCTGGTGGGCCCTGGACAGTGTAGGCCATCCCTTGTAGTAGGCCCTGACCTGCAAAACACGAGGGTATGGGTGTAGGAGGCGGATATCCCTGCACTGTCCTCAGCAGAAGGCCAGCATTCTCAGATTGCCTAACTCAAAGCAGCTAAACTAGAAGAAGCTGCCTGGAGGGAAAAGCCCTGATTTCCTCTCTGCCCTCCTGGGAGAATGATAACAAGCCTACACCTGTTGTGGCACACCTGCAGGGCTGCACTGATCAGTTAGAGCGAGAAAAGACCTCTGACTAACAACCTTCCTGCGGTCCCCACTGAAATCGGGAGCAAGTGAGCTGTTTGGGGAGCAAAGTGCCAAGCCCCTCAGTGTGTGCTCTGTCCTCCACAGTTCAGGTGCTAGTACTGGATCCCCTGGCAATGAGCTAGCTGAGAAACAGAATGGAGCCTTCTCGCTTTATTCTTTACCCATCTGATCCCAGAATTGCTGTCTCTGCAACCTGGGTGCACCAAAAATGAGGGGGCCAGTCTCTGGAGCCTAGATGCTGAGGTGCACACACGCTTCCTGCTCACTGAAGCCCAACGGTCCCTACTTACGCTGCATGCTCTCCGACACTCGCACTGCCAGCTCGTTGTAATCCAGGTCTCCAGCAAAGCCAGCCCCAAATGATTCACCATTGGAACCATACATGCCACCTCCTGCGGCCGCCCTGTAGCCGCCAACATCAGTGCCATAGGGGCCTCCATCTCCAGCACCAAAGGTTCCATCTTCACCCAGGGATCCTCCATTGGCACCTCCTATGCCCATGGAAGAGCTGTGGGAAGTGCCCCGTCTGATGGAGGAGCTGCTACCCCAATTATAGTTGTCCCGTGAGGCTAGGCGGCTGTCTCCAGGTGGTCCCTGTGGTCCTGGAGGGCCTGGAGGGCCAACGATGAAGCTGCGGACATCAGGACCTGTGGGGTAAGAAGCTGTGTGAGCTCAAATTGTGGAAGACAAAAGAGTCGGGTGCTAGGGGGTCTCTGGAATTCTACCATCCCTTAGCAACCAAGAGTTAATTTGGGGGCACTTATACATGAGCAGAACGCTGGTAAGCAACTGGGTTTCCTGTACTTCTAATACTTGGGTTTGTCTTCTAGGCATCTCTGAGTACCTACTGCCCCACATCAGGAACCATGATGGTCTGGGGAGAGGGCACAGGAGGGTACCAACATTAAGACACCTACTTGTGAGGTAACTAATCAGCTCGCTGCGGAAGTTGTCACTGTTTTCAGCAGCATAGGTGGCCAGAGCTGCTGAGACACCTGGAGGCCCTCTGGGACCTGCAGGTCCCGGAGGGCCTGGAGGGCCTGGGATGATGGACAAGCCAGCAGCTGCGTGGGAGGGGAGGGAAAGAAAGATCAGGACCATGGGTAGAGAAAGCTACAGTTCCAGACTGGCCTCAGGACCTGCTGTGGGCCCTTCATGGACTGGGAAGATGCCCACTGGGTCTCCTTCATGTAGGGAGGGGAAGGAGGCCTAGAGCAGCCCCTTTCTGACATCATCTGGAAATGACTGCTTCCAGTGGGTTCACTCCTTCAGTCTATATCCTGTCTCCTCCCAGACCTTCACCATGGGGAGCCAGAACTCCTTATCACATGACTGCTCACATGGTTCATGAGCTCTGCAGTTGCTAGCTCTGTCTCTCTCTACTTGTCCTGCTGCCATGATTAAGAGCTCCTCAGATGACCCTCTCCAGCCCTCCAGGGCCCAGCTCTGTGCATGACCCATTAGGAAATGGCACATTGATTCAGTTTCCCCCCTGGCAGCCCTTGCTAGGAGTACCCTCAAGGCCAGGCTGCACCCTTTGTCCCCCTCCTGCTCCCCAGCACCGTACTGTGCAAGTAAGACGAGAGGTCCTCCACACTGATGCTGGACCACGCATTGCCTGGCATCCCGGGAGGCCCTGGAGGCCCTGGAGGTCCTATGATGCCTCTGTATTCAGACCCTGAGACACCAACAGACAGCAAGGAGTCAGTCAACCTGGACCAAGGTTCACTTTCCACCCCAAACCTGAGGAATGTCCCTGTTTGGCTTACCTCGGAGCAAGGCAAGTAGTTCCTCATAGGATGTTCCCGGCAGGCCAGGCGGGCCTGGTGGGCCAGGAAGCCCAATGGTGATCCCAGAACCTGGAGAAAAAAAGTCCCAAGTTGTGATGAATGCACATAGGGCACAGGAGGGTGGATGCAAATGCCCTGACAGGGAACAGGGCAGACAACAATCTGGACAGAAGGGCAAGAGGAATTATGGAGAGGGATGAGGTGGAGATGTAGTCTGGGCAGTGACCCAGAGCAGGGAGGAGGACCCTGAGCAGGTCAGCACTGCCTGTAGGCTGCTGAGTATGGGGATGCTCTCCGACACTCGCACTGCCAGCTCTCAGACCTGCTCTGGGGCTGCACATTTTGAACAGCTCTGAAGGCCACACCCCCACAGGGGTTGGTGCAGCCAACAGCAGGAGGTCAGCAGGACCATCTCAGTGAAGTCCTCACCCAAGGCCCCTCTTGACCTTTCTGCTGCAGAGGGAAGGCAGAAAGGCAGACTTACTTGACATATAGTTGAGAATGCGTCTGCTTAGCTCTTCATAGTTCAAGGACAAGGAAGTCCCATCTCCACTGGTTCCTGGTGGCCCTGGGGGACCTGGAGGGCCAATCAGGTGCTGACGGAGGTACTGCCAAACATCATTCCCTAGAACAGAGAGGACATGTTTTGTTGATACCTCTGTACAATCAGGCTCCCGAGTGACAGCTGGAAGTTCCTGGTTCTTAGGATGCACATTGGTCAAGGGAAATCAAACCAATTCCAGGTGCCTGCAGTGGAAGGAGAGGGAGATTTATACTCTCTTTTCTGATCTATTTGTGACTCAGCATGCAGGGTGGAACAGTGAGTGAGTTTGTGGTTCCTTGTCCCAGAGGACTGCCTCTTGTTTGCAGCCCTTATAAGGCTGTGCCGGGGACAGGTATGCCTGTAAGGAGAGCAAAGAGGCCCCTCAGCCCAATGTAGGCAACTCACGGCGCAGCACGGCCAGGATATCTTCGTAGGAGGAGGCAGAGGACAAGCTGACACCGTAGCCTGATGCTGTGGGAAGAAGACCTCAGATTACCTCCTTGGTTCTGGGGCAGACCCTCTGCATCCAGAATCCAAAGGTCAGGTCAACTAGGTACTTCTCTTTGTGGGAAATGAACAAACGGGGCATTTCAGGCCCAGGAATGGGGAAAAGGCCAGAAGTGGTTTTTGACTTTCCATAGGAAATGCAGTCTTCTAGAATATGCTTTAGCCTGATTCCTATAAGACACTGCCAAACTGAAGCATCCCTTTTTGTGGACAGAGACAGACCTGTAGTTGGGGGCATGCTGGTCAAGTGCTTGCATATCTGACCCCCAGCATGCTTCCATTCCAGCCTGGTAAGTGCTTACTGAAGCTGGGCCCAGTGGCCCAACTGTGATGACTGGAGAATTAAAGGTCATATCCAGGAGCGGGGCAGAGCATCCAGTGAATTAAGAGATGAGGCTCTAGGAACAAAGGGGACCTATTGGGAGGAGGGTGACAAAGCACAGGGTGCAGGATGGACTTACTTCGCAAATAGCTCACGACGTGGCTTGCCAGCTGGGAGTAGTCAAAAGTCTCTCCTGTAAGGGTGATGACAGGCCCTGGGGGACCTGGTGGACCTGGGGGACCCTGAACTCCAGAGAGATAAGTCCTAATGCTGTCACCTGCCAACAAAAAATGAAGTATTCAAGCCTGTTCCCAAGAGCACCTGTCCACCCTGCAGAGATGACCCAGAGCCTGGGAGGGAAAGACTGCCCCTGCCACACAGGGCCCGAGACAGGACCAGCAGGGAGCCTGGACTCCTATGTTACTGATAGAGAAACTGAAGTTGAGGCCTATGCTGTCTGTGAGGATACGAATCGAAAAGACTCCAGTGAGGCGTCCATTTGACAAATCACCCATGTGCAGGGATGGGGGGGCGTGTACACAGTTGAGTGTGTATATTTGTGTGCGTGCATGTATGTGCATACGGACCTCTAGGTAGAGTGAAGAAGTGTGGACAGGTGTGTTGGGGTAGCTCTCTGACCAGCAGGCCAGGCTCCATGGGTGGGAAACCTGGACCTGGCCACACAGACAGCTCTTCTCACCCTCTCTCTGTCTCCCTTGCTCTCCTCTCCTAGGCATGGGTGATCAGCCACTTACTCTGCATGTACTCTGAGATGTACTGCTGGATCTCCTGGCCAGAGCTTCTGAGTGAACCTGGAGGCCCAGGGGGCCCTGGAGGGCCAGGTGGGCCCTGCATATACATTGTGCTTGATGATCCCCCTGCAAGGAAGAGAAAATGTCCCAATTTAGTATCTCACTGCCTGTCTGCCTGGCCTGGGGAGAGGGAGGCTTTCTCGATGGAGGAAGTAGGACAGTGGCAAAGACAAAGGCCCCATCTGCAAGGGCAGAGATGGATGCTGACCCAGGCCAGACCTCACACCCTTTCCTTTACTTCAGCAGCTGCTCGCTGTCTCACAGCTTCCATTCTCTGAGCTCACCCATAGCTCCCAGGACCTGCTCCCTTCACATTGTTGATCCCCAGGCATAGCCAGCTAACTCTAGATATTGAGGTACCAAATCAATATGGAAATTGTGTACAAGAGGAATGAAGGGATCAGCATCCTTATTGGAGCCATCATCCTCCTTTGATCCTTACCTCGAGAGGAGGGACCACCAGGGATTCCAGGAGTACCTGGGACACCAGGATCACCTGCAATAAACCCACAAGTCCTGTTTGTAACTTCTCCTCCAGGAGCCTTCCCTACTTAAGTCAACACATTGAGTGGTGGCCTCAGCAATCATCCCATGTCTTACAGTCTTGATTTTGTGATACCTCGAGCTCCATTTGGACAGAGTCCCTTTCCCTGTCCTTGCCCCTATCTTCCCCAGCCTGCCCTTCTGTCTCCCTCTTCTTTCTCCAAGCCTGGGTACTTGCCTAGAAGTACTGTGTCCTTGACCCACTCCTCACCACCTGCTCTTCACTGACCTTTGTCACCTTTGGGTCCCTGAGGGCCTGGTGGTCCCTGAAGGTTGAATCCAAGAGAACCAGCATCTGGAAGCAAAAAGTTATACACAGTATGTGAATATTTATCCTGATGCAACTGCAGGAGCCAGGAAAATGGAAAGGAACCAGGGAGGTAAAGGAAAAGAGGGAGCTGAGAGAGAACAGTAGGAGATAGGTGTTACCAAGGGGGAAATGGATAAAGTGGGGGGGGTATTTAAATAGTAGGGGGAAAAGGAGGATTAAAAAATACACAGTACCATCAGCCAGGGCTAGAAGGGCTCTGGCCAGAAGCAGAATGGAATAGGAGCTCTGTACTTACCTGAGGTTGAGAACCCTGGAAGGCCTTGTTCCCCTGAGGGATACACAGAGAAGGGGACAGGTCAGTCAGTCTCACTTTTCCTTTCTGTCTCTCCCCGGGTCCCCTCTCAAGACCTCCAAGAGCCACAGTGCTGGGCCTGCATCCCTCGTTGAGCAGCAAAACACACACACACACACACACACACACACACACACACACACACACACACAGATATTTAGCCACCCACAGAGACTTGCTGATCTGCTTGTGTTGACCAAATGCACTTCAAATAAGCTCAAGGCTCTTGGAGGTCAGCTCTTGCCACTCAACCCCCTACCCTAGGTTGTGTTTGATGTACCTTGATGTCCTCTGGGGCCTGGGGGACCTGAGGGAAGGAGGAAGAAAGCTGTGAGATACCTACTACTAGATACTGTGACCTCCATTGGCTCATGGGGGAGGTGATGGGGACTCCAGTGCTGGAGTAGACACAGACCCTGGAGCACTGCCTTCCACAAAGTCGAATAGGGTGGGAATTCTTAGCAACTTCTGACCACCCTGCCATCCCCCTCCCATGCTGCAGGCCGCTGAGCTTGATGGGCCATGGCAGGAGGATGAAGTGCCCCTGTTCATACAGCCTCATCCAAACACTTCTGGTCACCAGGTAGGAAGACAGAGGACAAGCTGGCTCCTGGAGTCTCTTGAGACACTGCTCTTACCTTGGTCTCCTTTTGGGCCTGGAGGTCCAGGTGGGCCTGGAGGTCCAGAGAAGAAGGTTTCTGCAGAGGAAAGAAATAGGTGAGTGTGGATGAAGTGATGTTTCTGAGGAAGCAGCACCTAGCATAGCACCTGGCATACTGTAGGTGCTCAGTCAATACCTATCATATATGTGTGTACTTGTAAGGATGTGTGTTCAGCTGCTTACATGGTTAAAAAGTTGAACATACACATGAATGAAAAGATGAATGGATAGATAGATGGGTAAGTAGGGATGGGCAGATGGATGGATATATGGGTAAGTAAGTAGATGGACAGGTGAATGGGTGGATGGATGGATGGACAGATGGATGGATAGATAAGTAGGTGGGTGGATGGATGAATGGATGAATGGGTAAGCAGATGGATGGATGGGCAGGTGGGTAGATAGATGGATAAGTAGGTAGGTGGATGGATCTTCTAGAAGGGACAAGTTCCGGTCTAATGCTTGCTCTCAAGCTATTTTCATACATTTCTGTGTTAATGTTGCCTCACTTATTTTATGTGCGTGCATCCTGCCTACTTCTTCAAATCCCAGTTCCCTGAGGATAGGAACCAGGCATCTTTGGTTAGTCCAGAATCTTCCCAAGGGCAGATATGGCTCCTCCCTCAAGCCAGGTTCCCAGGGTAGTTGGATTGACTGCTTATTTTACCCACATGCAGCAAGTGGTAGGAAGACTTAGCATTCACTCCCCCAAGTTGAAAGTCAGAAGGAGGAGGACACACTGCTGAGACCACAGTCAGGTAAGGGCTGAGGTAGGAAACAGGAGTGACTTGATGCCCTGATATTACCTGAATCAGTCAGGAAAGATCCTGGTGGGCCTGGCAAGCCTTCTCCTAGGGAAGAGAAGCCCAGGACTCAGTAGTGCCAGCAGGTGAGCCAAGAGCCCCCTGCTGGCAGGAGGAGGCAGGGACGTTCCTCCTGAGAAGACCTGGGCTCTGAGTCTCCTTGCCTCCCACCCCCCTTGCCCTTGTGCTCTTCTAGCAAGGTGCTCAGCTCTCACCTGGTGGGCCTCGGGGTCCTGGTGGGCCCGGGATGGAAGGCCCTGTAGAAGTAAGAGGAAGTGCTAACTTTAGGGAGCTGATTCACTCCTAAGGGCAGGATTGCTTCCTCATGAAGTGCATCATGTTCCCTGACCCCCAAGACTGCCCCCACCCCACCAAAGATCATTGAGCTGCTCACCTGGTGGCCCGCGTGGCCCAGGTGGACCAGGGGGACCTCGTAAGTCAACACCTTCTGTAGAGGAGCAAACAGAAACAGTGAAAGCTTGGCCAGGTTTTTCACCGTCATGCTCCTGACCTCTCATCAGAATGGTGAGGCTCCGATCCAGACTCCCATCCTATCACAGCACCCTCTAGAACCCTATCTACTGGGATGTCCCTTGCTCAGAGGCAGGTTGGGCTGCAGATGCCTTGACAACCCCTCTCGGGGTATAAAGTGATGGGTAGGGACCTAGGCTTCCATGTCAGCCAGGCTGAGCTCCAACCCTACTCCTGCATGTCTAACTGGTGACTTTAGGCAACTTTCAACCTCTCTCAGCTTCTGTTTCCTCCTTTGTAAACCAGTAAGACCTGCTCCATAGGGGTGTTGAGACGGCTAGGGCTCAAAGAGATACCGCCAAATGCTGAATCCCCCATTGCAATGCTTTGATGCCTCAAGGGCCTGGCCCAGGTTGCCTGCTATCATTGCTGTTCAGCAATCTAAGTGTTCATGTGGGAGGCCCAGCTGCAGGCTCACCTGGGCACTTGCAAGTGCTTTGTAGACAGGAGGCCACAAGGGTCAGCCCTCCTGGCCTGTAACTTGTGCCTGAGAACCCCAGGACTTTTACCACTGGCCTCTGAGTCAGATATATATGATTTCTGCCAGTCACACTCACATTCAAGGCCTGACCAGACCCTGGCCCTCCTGGAAGACCAGAGCCACTGTGTCAGCTGCCCCATTCCCATGACTAAACCACCTCCCACACCAGACAGACTGGGCCATTCTCCTCAGCTTTCACTCAGAGCACAGACAGGGGTCATTCTCACATCAAGCCCTTGCAATGACTCACTACAGCAGCTGCCCAGGCCCTGAGGACATTGTCATCTCCCCTCCACTGACTTCCTAGAGACACTGCTGTGGAGAATAGTGGCACTCACGGGCAGAGAGGACCTCGGAGATGGAGCCACCATTGCTAAAGAACGATTCACCAGCAAGTCCTGGCTCTCCTCGTGGGCCTGTAGGGGAGCACACAGAATTAGGGAGGGCTCTGCCTGCAGCAATGAATTTCTGTTTCCCCTCTGGAATAGGGACCAGGTCAAGGACCCAGTCAAGGGTCCTACAGGAGAGAGGATGGGATCTAGAGAAGGGAAAGGTTTGAGCAGGGCTGAGTTGAGAAAAGACAGGCCAAGAAGAAAGCAGGGATGGCTGGTACTTTTGACAGGGTGACTTGGGCCAGGTTTTTGTAAGCCTTAGTTTTTCTGATAGTTGTGTAAATTGCTGGACAGTAGTGATTATTAGGGTCCCATCATAAGAAGACCAAGGCCTATGAAAATAGTCTGTTCAACCTTGACCAGGGGCCACAAAGCCTTAGTCCTCCTGTCCTAAGGACTTGATCCTCTCAGAAACACAGAAATGGATGGGAGGAGGTGGCTCTCCTCACAGCTGAGGCCTTACAAGAAGGTGCCTTGTGAAGAGCCCTGAAGGCCTTCACCCTTCTTTTTTCAAAACACACACTTCTCTCTTCATGCAAAATTAGGTGCCTGGAGAAAAAAGTCCCCTGGACCCAGCCCATGAACCATACCTTGTTGTCCTGGGAGACCAGCAGGGCCAGCAGGGCCTAGAACAGAATTGCAGAAGAAAAGACTAAATCACACCTCTAGGGTGACAGGAAGAGCTGAAGAAAGGGCAGGTGCCTGGGGAGGCAGACTTCTCATGGACCAGCCATCCGGAGGGTCAGATTGGGTACATTAAGAGCAATAAGAAATTTGAGGCCAGCCCTGTGAGACTCTCTATGATAGGGAAAGGACCTTTGAGGTGGGCAGGGCTGGTCTTCACTGATTAGGGACTTTTATGTGTCTGTAGTGTTCTGTCTCGTTAGAGCTTGTAAAGACTGGCACATACTTGCATTGGTTAAGTCATGTACTTAATTCGAATATAAATATTTTAAATAATTAAAACATTTAACAAGGGGCTGGAGAGATGGCTCAGCAGTTAAGAGGACCGGTTGCTCTTGTAGGAACCCAGGTTGGGTTCCCAGCACCTACAGGGCAGCTAACAACCATCTGTAACTCCAGTTCCAGGGTTTCCAATGCCCCTTTCTGGCCTCCGTAAGCATTTTATGCATGTGGTGCACTTACATACACACAGGCAAAACATTCATACACATAAAAATAAATAAAAAATAAGTTTTAAAAATGTTTAAAAGGGGGCTGGAGAGATGGCTTAGTGGTTAAGAGCACTGACTGCTCTTACAGAGGACCTGGGTTCGATTTCCAGCACCCACATGGAGGCTAACAACCGTCCATAACTCCAGTTCCAGGGGATCAGACATCTTCTGATCTCCGAGGGCATTGCAGAACAGGTGCACTTGCAAGCAATACACTTATACACATAAAAATAAAAAAGTTTTAAAAATGTTTAAAAAGCCTATATAGCAAAATAGCAAGCATTTTGGAAAAATAGAAAAAAATCATTTGTAATTCTTTAGTTTCTGAGTGTTTCATTTTATTTCCTTTCTGCTTATTTTTTTCATTTTGTAAGCACATAGTCACAACCACAGAGCTTACACAAATCCCTGACAGCCACTTTAAATGATGCTATTATCTCCTCACAATGGCCCTCAAAAATCTCCATAATTCTGCAGCTGTCTCATGCTGCTGAGTGATTTGGGGATACTTTCCTCTAATAGAACACCAGTATTTGTGTTGTCCTTCACATGGACTATCAAATTATTTTCTACAAAGAAACAAAGGGTTTAAAAGCCTTTGTTCTGACTGGCCACAGGCTGTGGAAGCAGAGTGACTTGGACTAAAACCCTCCCTTGCTGTTGGTTGGCTGTGTGACTTTAGGTAAGTCATTTACCCACTCAGTTCCATCTGTAAATGTAGAGAGCAGCACTGGGCTCTGTTGTGAGACAGGACAGTGCCCCTTCTTGGGGAGCACAGCAGTTTGGCTGTCTTGAGCCCTCCTTATTCTCTTTGTTGGTTCCTGTCCATGCCAGGATTTGAGTAAACATGGCTAGAATCTAGCTTACCTGCCAGGGCCTGCAACTGTTTTGAGCTAAAGTAAGATGTACCAACCTGGGGTTCCTGGAGGTCCTGGGGGTCCCATGGCACCGGGAGGTCCTGGAGGGCCTGGGACAGTGATTGTTGATGATCCCTCTGAAAACAGAAGGATCATGGAACACTGAGCCCCACTCATTACCTTTAGGAGGCAGTCAGTGGCCTCTGCCTCTCATCATCTCTGACCTTCCCTCCTTTCCTGGCTGCTGACCCACAGACCTGGTCCTACATTCTGCCCTGAGCACCTGCCCACTCACTGACTGTTCTGGGAAGACACTGAGGCAGAGCCAGGGCTGGTGCTCTGCACAGGACAGGCAAAAAGAACCCAGGGAGGGACCCTTTTGGGCTGCCTACCTGAGGTCACCACTCTGCCTGGAGCACCAGGTTCACCTGGGGAGGTCAAGGAAGAGAGTAGTCATCCAGGGTACACTGAGCATCTCTCAGCTCAGACCCAGCGACTCAGAACATCAGTCATCTCTCAGAGAAGGGGTTTCCTGGAGGCTGTGGGAAAGTCTGTCCTCCTATGAGGCCAGAATGAGACTCATACAAGAGCCATTCTTATGCCACACTCTATCACTTCCTCCTGGGAATGATCATTCATGGGAAAATTACCTGAAGATCAAAGGGTAGAGGCCATGCCCCTATGAGTGGGGTCCCAGGGAGCTGATTAGAACTCTGATTCCCTGGGCGGCAGGAGGGGCTGGGCAGCATGAAAGTGGTCTTTGCAACTGGTAAATTTGGGCAATCCTATGTTACATAAAAGGCCACAGCTTTTTCCTGCCATTGGTCTTGAATGATAAAAATGGAACTGTGACTGAAGGACTTTCAGGATGAGGACAGGGATTCACATGCCCCCAAACGTGTCCATCTTTCCATGAACCTCTTGACTGACAATCTATGGATGGGGCTTGGGGACACCAAAGGAGTAGAGCATAGAAAAGCTCCTGCGGCTGGAGACCAGGCTCAGCAGCAGACTGCCTAGCATGTATGAGGCCCTGAGTTTCACCCCTAAAACTAAAAAAGGAAGCCCCATTCTTTGAATCCTTTAGGAGGCTTGGCTGTGAGCAATTAAACTCCACATTTGAAAGGATGTTTTTTTTTCCCCTTTAAAGGGTTAGTTTTTTTGTGTGTGTGATCTCCTCCAGCAGGGGCCAAGGCCAAAGCAGGAGAAAGCACTTATGTTTGTTTTGTGGGAATACAATCTAACAACAGGAAACATAGCTCCTGTTGTGCATCTTGTCCAGGTAGGGTCTGAAGTCCCCTTGGACAGGAAATCACAAAGGAATAGACTTTCTGGTATCTTCTCTTAGTCTTTTGACTTTGTGCCCTTAGTAGAATTGAAACACTCCTCTTTACCTATACAGAGCTGCCTGTTAGAGGATCTGGTGTCCCCAGTCACACTTGGGCCAGGGCAGGGGGTAAGGCCAAGCGTGGCTCCTGTCACAGAATATATCACATCAGTGGGGAACAAGCCTAAGTGATGGTATTTCAGAGGCAATTAGAGCATCTTATAAGCAAACCAGGTCTGGGAAGCTTAGAGGTGAGCGACATCATTTCCTTTCTTCCTGCCACAAGGGCCTGGAGATACGGAAAGGAGGCTCAGGTTTGGGAGTGAGGCTGTGTGGAGAACAGGTGGGGCCTGAGGACCCAGAGCCCAGTTGCTTTGCAGATTCCTGGGCCTCCATCTCTCGGCCTTCGGTTGGAGCCACTAGATGCCACTGTTGATCCAGACTCTGGCCAGAGAGGGCCCTCCCTCCTGACAACCCCTCCCTGATACAAAAATGGCTAGTGAAAAGAAAGAATATCTTATTGGGAAAATCACATACCTTTAGTTCCTGGTCGGCCAGGGCTACCTGGAAGTCCTGATGTGATTAAACATAAGTCAGTCAGGATGATTAAGGTTCAGCAATTTTGGACGTCCTCCTTCCCTTCCCGCTGGCAGTAACCAAGTTCTGCCACTCAGCATGGTGGCACTGGCTGGCTGAAGCAGCAAGACCCAGGCCTGGCCTTCAGCTACCTGGAGTGGGGGTGGATCTCTCACCCGAAGCCCTATCCCTGTCTAGGAAACTGAGCCACAGTTGGGTTGAGGCAGGCAGAGGCTCTGGGAGAGTCTCTATGAGTTGTGAGTGCCTGGTGATTACAAAGCTGCCACTGTCCCTGTCTCTGGAGATTGTGGCAGGGCCTGCTGCATCCAGAGCACCAGTATCTGCTCACCTTTGTGGGGTCTGCTGCTTGACTTCACTATTCGTCTTTGTCTAATTACCTTTAGAAAATGCAGGGTTGAATGTGCTTAAGATTTCTCAAGCACAGATCGGTGAGATGGGTATTGAAGGATGGGCTTTAATACAAAGGTCATCCCAGAGAGGGAGAGCCCTCAGAACCAGAGGAATGCAGGGGAGCACACATTCCCTCCACTCCAGCCATTGGGTAACCTGGGCATGCCCAGAGCTGGTTAACTAACTGAGCTGGTTAACTAACTCTTGAACCAGAGCTGGTTAACTAACTCTTGGCCAGCAATATCCCCATGGCTTGGGTTTCCTCCTACATCAGAGGGGGACAGAGCATAGCACTAACACCACTAACTACCAGACCTCACTGGTATCAGAGTGACAGTCTAGATTGTTCTGTGCATGTTTTTTCTTTTTTCTTTTCTTTCTTTCTTTCTTTCTTTTTTTTTTTTTTGAGACAGGTTCTCACTGTAGCTGCCCTGGAACTCACTATGTAGACCAGGCTGGCCTTGAACTCACAGAGATCCACCTGCCTCTGCCTCCGGAGTGCTGGGATTAAAGGCATGTTTTCTTTTTAAGGTGTTTCTCAGGACTCACAACATAGGACCTGAGCCTGTGTTTGCTAGGGGTTGGGGAGGAAAGGAAACCCTTGGATGGTTAGAGAAGTATTAGTCACAGTATCTAGCCTAGAAGGAGGTGGCAGGTGGGAGTGACCAGATGACTCACCCTGAGGTCCTTGGGGTCCTGTGAGACCTGCAGAAAAGAAAATACAGGGGCAAGAGTTGAAGGGTCTAGGACCCACCCTGAGGAGCCACACCCTTGCCTGCAGGAGCAGTAAGTATGAAAGTGAAGGGGTCAGTGGGTCCAGGGGGATAAGCCTCACACTCGTACAATCCAGGATTCTCCCAGCACTGGGCAGAGAGCAGTTCTGTGAGCTTTGCAGTGGAGTGACCCACCATTCCACTGGGGAATGGTCCTAAGCTTATTTGGGTTCACAGACACTTTGGGAATGTGAGGAGAACCAGGAACCCAGAACAGAAACATCCGTATTGTATGATGCCGCCCTAGGCTCCCTCCCTTAGCGCTCCAACCTAGGGACCAGCCAAGAGTCAAGGCTCCTGTGTCCTCAGTGACCTGATGAATGGTCACCTGCTTTAACCGCACAGCTCTCTTGGTCGGATTTGAATTTTTCTTTGCACAGTCCTGAGAATCCTGCTCTTATTTGGCCTTTAATAGAAATGTTAACAAGGCCCTCTCTTCTCAGACTAGTATTGGTGACACAGTCCCAGGAAAGGAGATGGGGAAAAGCTTGATCAAGGTATGGAGCTAGAGTTCAAGTCTGTAATTTTTTAAAAAAAATATATTATTTTTATTTTATGTGTATGCATGTATTGCCTGCATGTAGGTAAGTGCACCCATGTCGTGCAATGCCTGTGGAGGTCAGAAGAGGCTGTCGGATCCCCTGGGACTGGAGTTACGGACAGTTGTTAGCTGCCATGTGGGTGCTGGGATTCGAACCTGGGTCTTCTGCAAGAACAGTCAGTGTTCTTAACCGCTGAGCCATCTCTCCAGCCCCTCAAGTCTATAATTTTAAGAGCACTCTTGCCCCTTTCTATAATCCCTTGCTTTCATCTGTTAAACTCTCTTTTCCAAATGGCCAGACTCAGTGACTGAATGCTAGGCCCATAGCCATTACACACAGTGCAGTCTGCTGTATGGGTTCTCTGCTGAGATGCCACTGGAAAATGGGACAGGCCACATGTGGGTGCACTTGTGCATATACGTAGGTACATGCACACATCAACCATGCACCCATGAACCAACTGTATCCCTAAGATGCACGCTTCTGAGTGTGCCCAAGTTGTATACATACTCAGAGGGCCTCTCATCCCATTACCTGGCTTTCCTGGGTCTCCAGAAGGTCCTGGTGGGCCACGAGTTCCAGGCATCCCTGTAAGGCCTTGTTCACCTGCACAGAACATGACCGATGAGACTGCTTTTCCCTTGGGAAAGCACCTGTGTGCCAGTGGGTTTTCCTGAATGACTTGCTGGCAGGTGATTGGAAAGAGGGACCAAGACCAGGACAGTGTGCATCTCTGCATACTGCATACCCCTCTGGTATTACGATGGAGGGCCTGCTGGGGCTGCATGTGAGGGCAAGGGCAGGGCAGGATGTGGGAGGCAGGAGCAGCTGATGAGGCTAAAGACAACAGATCAGTGACTAACCTCTTGGGCCTTGCTGTCCGTCGGCACCAGCGGGGCCTGGTAAGGCAGAAAAGTAAAGCCTGTCAGGTACTCCTGGAGATATTTCTGTGACTCTTTTCCTCTCCTGCCCAGTAGCCTTAGAGTACGTGGCCCATGTAGTCCTCCCTGTGGCCATCAACTTCAGAAGCCCTGTCTGTGATACCTCTGGATTCAGCCTTCTTCCAGCCCAGTTCTAAGCCAGCATTTGTCATCTGCTGGCTGGGAATGGTCCAGGACTCCCCATCCCCATGGCACCACTAGAGCACAGATAGGTGCTCCTAAGTGTCTGCATCATTTACCTGAGACCCTGGAACTTAAGGTCCCCCAGGTCCTTGTCTCCTCTGCTCTAAGCTTATTCCTAACTTCCTTCCAAAGTGGAGACCCTTCAGGACTTGCCTCACTCCTCCACCTCTGTCATCTCTACATGGATAGTTTTCCAAACTGACCATAACTAAATACTTCCTAAAATTTTAGAACCATCCGAAGTACCACGTCCTCTGTCCTCCAAGCTGTAAGCAGTCTCTTTCAGCTATATCCCCGTAGTTCTTCCATGGCCCTTTCATGGTCCCTGTCGCCTCTCACAAGCATTGTTTCACTCGAGGAAGTAAGCATATGACTTCACTGTCCTGCATACCATCCATGCATAATAATGACTGGTTAAATGAATAATAGTGAAGATGCTGCATCCCCATTGGGAGGGCTTGTGTCCCTGTGGGGCTCACTGCTGAGGCCTGGCCCTCTGAAGCTTCCCTGTCCTGGATGACAGGCACCTTGGTAAGAGTTAGTCAAAGGGTGGCCACCTGGATCTGGCTTTGAAGCTATCCCTCAGGTGGGATACTGGGGGTGGGCACAGAACCTCAGTCCTTGTCAGTCCTTAGCCAGCAGGCAGTAGCCAGGGTAGGTTATGCCCAGAGAAGCCCATGCCAGAACAATGAGAAACTCCCAGAAAACAGAAGCTAGAGGGCCCCTAGGAAGACGCCTGGCCCAGAACTGCCCTGAAAAAGAGACCCGGGTAGTGCTGCGGGCCAGGAGAGGCAGCTTTAGAAGAAGTGTTTCCCCAGGGCCATGCTAACCAGCCCCACTGCATCTGCCTCTTTGGGACTCTTACCCATTGCACCCTTGGTTCCAGGTTCGCCCACGGCTCCAGGCAAACCTCTCGTGCCAGGTTCCCCTGCACAAAGAGGACAAAGGACCAGCTGATTGGAGACTGACAAAATATGCATTTGTATTCTGGCATCGTCCCACTCCTGCCCCTGCTGACTTCCTCTCCACCCAAAGGAACCAGGAGAGGCAACCGCTGCTTTGATTTCAAGGTCAGGACCACCTGGCTCTTTTCCCCCAGGACTGTAGGTCCAGATTTAGTCAGAAAGCATGGCTGAGCTGAGGAGGCATGTGTATGTATCTAATTTTCTTGGAAACACAAAGCTACCCTTTGTGGTCAAAGTATCATCACTCTCAGTGTCATTTAATCCGCGCGGTTGGCAGGAGGGGAACAGCTGAGGGGGTGCAGGGTGCACACTTTCTGCTTCTTTGGAAATTGATTATTAATTTCCCCAAAGAATCTAAAACAACTATAAACTTGCATCAAACAGACACAGTTTGGACTGTGTGCTTCGATGCACACTTAGCCGCCATCCATGGTTTTTTTAATCTTTTCATTGCTGCTTCTAATTTCTTTTTTTTTTTTTTAGTCTTTTTGAGACAGGGTCTCCCTGTAGTCCCAGCTCATCTGGAACTTGCTATGTAGACTAGGCTGGCTTCAAACTCACAAAGATCCGCCTGCCTCTGCCTCCCAAGTGCGGGGGATTAAAGGCATGTACCACCAGGCAGGCCCGGCTCTTCTAATTCTTTCAAATGTGTATGAGTGTTTTGTCTGCATGTATATACAGTGCATGCATGTTGTCCAGTGCCTGTGCAGGCCAGAAGAGGGCATCTGATCCCCTAGAACTGGAGTCACTGGTGGTTGTTAGCTTCCATGTGGATGCTGGGAACTGAACCCAAGTCCTCTGCAAGAGCAGCCAGTACTCTTAACAGCTGAGCCATCTCTCCAGTTCCAAGTGCTATGTGTCTTCTGAACTGCCAGGTCTTTGAGGGTTTTGAGACAGAGATCCTGCTTCATCCTTCTATATTTTTCTACCTTCAGTGATTGCTGGATTTTAAAAAGTCATGAAGAGATGAAATTCCTGGGTTGGACTGACCTGTGAGGCCTCTGGGTCCTTTCTCACCCTGGTCACCTAAAACAAACATGGGGCAGGGGGGAGGGGGAGCCATCAGTTGTGAGCAAGGAAAACAACCACCTTGGGTGACATACAGCCTTACAACAGGGGGCTGGTGAGTCAGGGCATTGATAAAGCAATTCCTACCCGCGAGCAGATGCCCTCAGCCTCTGCTGTGACACATAGGAGTGTCCTGGGCAAAGGAGGGCCAGACTAGAAAGCAGACACCTCAGAATATGTATCCTCACACCACAAGGACCACTCAACAATGGCTATATGATATGGGAACTTTGTTTCCCTTCTTTGTGCCTCAGCTTCTCTCATTCTAGAAGCTAGAGAAGAATGAGCTCTCAGGTCCCTCTTAGCCTGAGTGTCCAGGAGCCAGAGTCATGTATGGTCTTGGACCCCACACACTGGTTGTGTATGGGTGCCTAGGAGCAGGGCAGACCATGGTGATGACTGACCAACAGTGGGAACAGCATACCTTTGGGTCCTGGTGGTCCCATAAGTCCTTTGTCACCTGAAAAGGAAACAGACACCTTGGTATAAAAAGCCCTGCAGCAGATGACCAAGAAGGGTCCATGTCTGTCTGTCTGTCTGTTTGTCTGTCTGTCTGTCTGTCTTCCCCTCCATACTGATTTCCCTCACTATCCCTTCTTACACTTGGTAGCTACATAGCTTGTGGGTCCACCAGATCCTCCCTGAACCCCCAGATCTCCTTGAGTGAGCAGTCTCCCTCATCATCTCTTCAACTCACCTCTGACACCAGGGAGTCCCACTTCACCTCGGAGTCCTTGGGGACCCATAGAACCTGTCCAGCAGAAGAAAACACACAGATGGATGAACATTCCATCTTTGGAAGGGACAAACGCACATGCATACTTGTGCACACACGTGGATGCATGTACACCCTGGAGCAAAAGTCAAGGGCTGCTTTCCACAGATTTGCCCACCTCCCCATGCTCCCACTAAGTCACCCTGCTCCAAGTTCCTTGTCTCTGCCACTCACCAGGCCCTGGCATTAGAACACCTCAAAGGACCCTGACAGAGGCACTGGCTATAGCTCAAGATTCTCAGGACAGCTGCATGAGCCCTTTGGCTCTCATGGGACAAGGAACAGACAGGCTGGGAACTCCCTATTGATGAAGCTGAAGAAGGTTTCTGGTTCCACATCAGGCCAGAATGAATTTGGACAGGACCCATCAGGGCACCCATGTTCAGTTGCCAAGGGACACTGTAGACGAGCTTTTTATGCCCAAGAACTTCTTTTTATAATAGCTTCTTTTGCTTCAGCAGTATTTGATTTTCCCTTTAACATTCCCTTCTTTGTACTAGAAATAGCACCGATTTACAAGAATCAGCACACTGACCTGGGGGCCCTTGGGGACCAGGTGAGCCACTGGAACCTGAGAGGGAGAGAAGAGACAGTCAACAGAAGGCTAAGTATATGCTGGGATGACTGACCCCAGGATGAAGGGCAGGCAGAATGGAGGGAGCTCATTCCAAAGGGCCAGTATGGTCCTCGCCAGGGCCGCACACCAGAGCGTCCAGGGATGCCCATGGTGCACCTTAGGATAGGCTGCAGCTGGATAGAGTCCAGAGACCCCCTATCCTTTTCTGGTCAGAGTAAGATGTTGGAGCTAGAGCAGGGGTTAGAAGGGGAGATGGCAGAAGGGCATCAAGTAGTCAGTGACCAGGAACCCTTTCTCCCTGAGTTGTCCACACATATGACATTCTGTGTGTGACAGAGACAGAAATGTGGCCCCTACCCCACTATGGGGCCAAAAATTGTAGGCCAATCTTGAGGCCCAAGAACTCCTTTGTGGGGGAGCACTACCTGGGCCCATCACCCTTCACAGACCTGGAGCAGTTGGCCAACACTCTTGGGGAGCCCAGGGCCCATTTTTCTAAATGTGGTTCAGTCTTGGATTCCTGACATACCTTTGGGGCCCACAGAACCAGGGACACCAGGAGGTCCCTGAGGACCTGGTTCTCCAGCAACTCCTGAGGAGAAATGGAGGAAGGAATATGTTGAGAGAGCCTCTTCAGTCTGACTGTCCACCCAGCCTGACAGTGACAATTATATTGTGGGGATGCTTCCCACCCCACAATGGTTCAGGGTCCATTTGGCCTGTCTGTGAGACCACTTATCAGCAAAATCCCTTCAGTCTCCACCTCCCAGACTTGACTTTCCATGAAGTCTGGCACCTAGATGGCACTCAGCAAATACTGGCTGCCTGCTTCAGCAACATTTTTAGGAGAATATGAGACTAAATATAAGCTTCCTGTACAGTCTTTCGGCTAGAGGATCCCTCGTGCCTGCCTCAGGTTCCCCATAAAGGTAGTCTCATGGTTAAAGAGCTCATTTGGAAACCTCCAAGCACCCTTCAGTACTTGTGTCCCAGGCGTTCCTGTCTCCTGCCTTGCTGAGTCCAGGCCCCCCAGAGTCTGGAAGACCTGCAGCGTCACTCCACACCTAGCTGCACACCCAGTCCTCCTGCCCTCTGTTCTCCATCTTGATCTCACTCTGCACATCACCCTTCTAGGATGAGACTTCTTTGTCTGGGTCCCAAACATCAAAACCTGTTTCTTAGTCCTGGATGGACCAATAGCTTGGCCGCAGTCTATCCTTAGTCATTGTCTCTACAGGGTAAGCCCTGTACAGAACACCCCTCAACTCCCATGCAGGTGTTCCACTGCTGCCAAAAAAGGGAGTGTGCAGGATGGATACAGTCAATCCTGGTAAAGGAGTCACCTCTTACCTCTGTCTCCTTTCTCTCCGGACCCAGGAGGCCCAGGTTCACCACGAGGTCCCATGGGGCCTTCTCGTCCTCTCTGGCCCATGGGTCCTTCCATACCAGGATCTCCTAAAGATGACAATAGCCAGCCTCACAGTGAGGGTCATGTGCCATAGCCAAAAACCCTGTAGACAGGGTTCCTTCAGCAGAGTGACAGCCACCCAAAGCCTCTTTCTGCCCTCTACCCCCGCTGCTTCCCTGGCACCCAGAGCCTTGCTCCACTCAGAACCAGAGTAACCCTGTGTGTAGATGATACCCCGCCTCTGCTTAAACCTGCAAGTGGCTGCTCATTTCACCAGGAGAAAAAGTCATCCTTCTCCTGGTCCACATGGCCATCCCTTCTGTCTCTCCAGCTCCCAGCCTCCCCATCCTGGTGTTTCTTGAACCTGCCTTTGGGGCCTTGGCAGCCTCCCCTCCCCACTTGGAATGTTTCCCCTAAGTCTTGTGCCTGGCTCTCTCTCTCTTCAGTTCCCTGCCCCCAACTTTCCTGTAACCCCTAGCTTTCTCTGTTGTATTCTTTGCTGTCTTCTAAAATAGGATCAGGTACACAGTAGATGCTTAATAAAGAGAGAGGAAGTGAATGGAGAAGGGAGCTCTTACCCACGCTGCCTTTTTGTCCCTTTGGTCCTTCTGGTCCAGGGTGGCCCAGAGGCCCAGGGATACCTGTGATACATATCAGATGTCAGCTCCTGTTTCCTCTGGAAGCTGGCAATTAGAACAGAGCAGCCCCAAACCAGCAGCACCAGAGTTCAGTGGAAGTTACACACCTGGAGTCCCAGGGAGGCCTCGGTCTCCTGTGGAGATAAAAAGAGATCTCAGATGGGCGACATGGATTGATTCCCTAAGGAAGCCACTGGTGGGATTCAGGTAAACTTCCAGGTAGCAAATATAACCATCTAGTTACATTTCAATTTCACATAAAACCATAAATACATTTTTTTTTTCTGTCTTTGAGACAGGGTTTCCCTGTAGCCTCAACTGGCCTGAAACTCACTATGTAGACCATGCTGGCCTCGATCTCACAGAAATCTGCCTGCCTCTGCCTCCAGACTGCTAGGATTAAAGGCATGCACCACCACACTCAGCTTCATAAATACATTTTAAAATATAGTTATGCCCCGTAAGTTCTTTGGGACATACTTATATTGAAAATTATTGTTTTCCTGATATTCAAATACAGCCAAGAGTCCAGTATTTCACCCGACACAGCCCGTTCAGGGACTCCAGCACCACCAGTCCCCATCCTGATCAGGGTCAGGAGGAGTGTGGGCTGCAGGTTGAGGGAGGTGGATCTGTAGCAGGGGCTCTAGGTGTTGGAGGTGACTGGGAATCATGAAGGAGATGAAGAGGAATAAAAGGCTACTAAGAGGAGGTATGCAATTCCTGCCTGGGATCTGGGGGTGAGGTGGAACTGGGACAGGGACAGAGGTGGCCCTGTTCCCTAGAGCGGTGGTTCTCAGGTTGGGTGCAGAATCCACTGTGGTGACAAAGACTAAGGCTCCTGGACCCATCTGCACCTGCTTAATCAGAGGCTCTGGGAGGGGGCCCAGAGTCTTCTGGGAGCCCCTTCTGACACTGGAATTTGCAAAACTCTCAGTGAAATGAATCAAGGGAAATTGCTTTGTGTCCTGTGAGGGGCAAAGGGACTGGAAGCCTTCCCCTCCCAGCATGTATGGACTATGGGTTGTTAAATCACTTTTCTCAGCGTGAGGGGGTTATCTGATCCTGACTTCTTTAGTCCTCTACCTCAACAATGTTTAGGGTAAGTTTTCTCTGGAGTATTTACCTTTAGGGCCTTGACTTCCCATGTCACCTAGAACCAGGAAGAAGAATCCTGTGAGACAGGGTAACAACCAAGAACCATTCTCTCCCTGGGTTTCACAGCTGTTTGACAATATGTGAAGCATATGTCAAGATAAGGGGACAGTGATATGGGTCCCGCCAGCCCTGTCGGGGGCACTTGGGAACACGTCACTGGGATTCTTCTGGATGCTGTCCAGGCTCCCAACCCTGCTGTGATATCTGACTAGAAAGTCAACTCTTAGCTTCCTAATAGACATAACACTGTTAGGTCATTCAGAGAAATCATTCTAACTCCTGGGGGTACCCTTCCCTCCATGTAAGAATGAGAGCAGGGAAAGGACTCAAGTCACACCGATACCTTTAGGACCAGGGCTTCCTCGAAGATTTCCTACAAGAAAGAATAAACTTCAAGTCAGTACACACACACACACACACACACACACACACACACA